GATATTTATTAAATCTTGTCCCTAATTCTCTATAGCTCTGCTATTTCTCCTTGGAAACATAGTTTGCTTAGTTCTCTTAGTTCTCCCACTTCTCCTAGTTCTCCTAGTTCGCTTAGTTCTCTTAGTTCTCCTAGTTCCCCCATTTCTCCTAGTTCTCCTAGTTCTCCTATTTCTCCTAAATCTCTTAGTTCTCCTAGTTCTCCTAGTTCTCCTAGTTCTCTTAGTTCTCCTAGTTCTCCTAGTTCTCCTAGTTCTTCTAGTTCTCTTAGTTCTCCTAGTTCTCCTAGTTCTCCTAGTTCTCTTAGTTCTCCTAGTTCTCTTAGTTCTCATAGTTATGCTAATTTTTCTAGTTCACCTATTGCTTCTAGTTCTCCTAGTGCTTCTAGTTCTTCTAGTGCTTCTAGTTCTCCTAGTGCTTCTAGTTCTCCTAGTGCTTCTAGTTCTCCTAGTGCTTCTAGTTCTCCTAGTTCTCCCACTTCTCCTATTTCTCTTAGTTCTCCTAGTTCTCCTAGTTCTCTTAGTTCTTCTAGTTCTGCTAACTTTCCTAGTTCTCCCACTTCTCCTAGTTCTCTTAGTTCTCCTAGTTCTCCTAGTTCTCTTAGTTCTCCTAGTTCTGCTAATTTTCTTAGTTCTCCTATTTCTCCTAGTTCTCCTATTTCTCCTAGTTCTGCTTGTTCTGCTTATTCTCTTAGTTCTCCTAGTTCTTCTAGTTCTCCTAGTTCTCCTAGTTCTCCTAGTTCTTCTAGTTCTCTCATTTCTCCTAGTTCTGCTTATTCTCCTAGTTCTCCTAGTTCTCCTAGTTCTTCTAGTTCTCTCATTTCTCCTAGTTCTCTTACTTTCCTAGTTCTCCTAGTTCTCTTAGTTTTCCTAGTTCTCCTAGTTATTCTAGTTCTCATAGTTCTGCTAATTTTCTTAGTTCTCCTATTTCTCCTAGTTCTGCAAATTTTCCTAGTTCTCATATTTCTACTAGTTCTGCTTGTTCTGCTTATTCTCCTAGTTTTCCTAGTTCTTCTAGTTCACTCATTTCTCCTAGTTCTCTTAGTTAATCTAGTTCTCTTAGTTCTCCTAGTTCTTCTAGTTCTCTCATTTCTCCTAGTTCTCTTAGTTAATCTAGTTCTCTTAGTTCTCCTAGTTCTCTTAGTTCTCCTAGTTCTCCTAGTTCTCCTAGTTCTCATAGTTCTCTTAGTTCTCCTAGTTCTCCTAGTTCTCATAGTTCTCTTAGTTCTCCTAGTTCTCCTAGTTCTCCTAGTTCTCCCAGTTCTCCTAGTTCTCCTAGTTCTTCTAGTTCTCTCCATTCTCCTGGTTCTTTTAGTTCTCCTAGTTCTTTTAGTTCTCCTAGTTCTCTTAGTTCTCCTAGTTCTACTAGTTCTCTTAGTTCTCCTAGTTATCCTAGTTCTCCTAGTTCTTCTAGTTCTCATTTCTCCTAGTTCTCTTAGTTAATCTAGTTCTCTTAGTTCTCCTAGTTTTCTTAGTTCTCCTAGTTCTCCTCGTTCTCCTAGTTCTCTTAGTTCTCCTAGTTCTGCTAATTTTCTAAGTTCTCCTATTTCTCCTAGTTCTCCTAGTTCTCCTAGTTCTCCTAGTTCTCTCAGTTCCCCTAGTTCTCTTATTTCTCTTAGTTTTTCTAGTTTTCCTAGTTCTCCTAGTTCTCCTAGTGCTTCTAGTTCTCCTAGTTCTCTTAGTTCTCCTTGTTCTCTTAGTTCTCCTATAATTCTCTTAGCTCTGCTATTTCTCCGGGGTTAGTTTGACCTGAGAGAAATGTACCCAGGCCCTAATGCAGTTTATGCCTAGATCAATCCCTGTAATAAAGGTGAATCTGCAGATACAGAACCAATTGCAAATATTCAACCTGCAATAATTGGAAAATTATTTTGCATAGATATCAAGATTTCTGAGAAACATTTCCAAACCCTTACATAAATACCACTCTTTTCCTTTTCAGAACCTCCCTTTTCCTTCCCCCCCCCCCGCTCCCCATCACATATATTGATCTTGTATCCAAGATCCATAAAGTATTTTTTCATCTCAATAGTGAAAATTTATTTGGTTAAATTAAATGAATCTATCAGACATAATCTGGTAATCATCGACATGTTGAAACCTCTAATCGAACTCTAATTAAAGCATGGTTGCTCGAATCAGATTTGACCAACAAGACAATTGCACAAATATACATTACATATACATATATATAGCTCTGATGCATTAGGGCTGGATAGATAGTTTTTTCCCCTGAGTTTGGACATTTTGCCCTAAGAAGAAATTCCCACTTTTGCTTACAATATTTGTTATTTTTATTGTAATCCTCTTTTTTTTTAAGATTATTGCTTGAAAAAGGCATCTGGAGCATTTGAGTTGAATGTATTTGAAAGCTATGGAAAGATAAGGATGGACAGACTATTTTGTTATTCGCGCGAAAAGGTTTTGTGAAAAATGATAAATGGCGCGCGGATGCTGTTAGAAATAAAATTGCGATAAAGGAAGTGAGACTTTGCCACAAACTCAAATATTCTCATCCCTAAATCTTTGAAATTTCAAACTCAGATAATTCGAAAACACATTATTCTTCACCATTCTTTTTGAAATTTTCTTTGGAATTTTAATTTATCAAAACTTAAATATTTGTATAAATATAACGTAAAAAAACAGTTTGATTTGATCATATATGCATATTAAATGATAGAAATGAGTGGAAGTTGGATGATTGGTAAACATAAAGAAGGGTTAGAATGAGTAAAAAAGTTAGAATGATGAATGATAAATTGTACATAAAAGAAATGAATGTTCTATGTATTCTAGTTTGAATTTGAATATTTAAAGTTTTGATATTTAAGAGTTGAATTTGGAATACTGGAATACGATTATTCCGGGTGTCCGAGCATTCAACGTTAATACAAAGCCAGTGCATTCAAATCTGATTATTCAAATAATCCTCTGAGCTGACATAGATACAGCAGGGCTTACATAGATACAGCAGGGCTTACATAGATACAGTAGAGCTTACATAGATACAGCAGGGCTTACATAGATACAGAAGGGCTTACATAGATAAAGCAGGGCTTAAATAGATACAACAGTGCTTACATAGATACAGCAGTGCTTACATAAATACAGTAGAGCTTACATAGATACAGCAGAGCTTACATAGATTGCAGTATATGGGCTTACATAGATACAGCAGAGCTTACATAGATACAGCAAAGCTTAGATAGATACAGCATAGCTTTCATAGATACAGCAGGGCTTACATAGATTGCAGTATATGGGCTTACATGATACAGCAGAGCTTGCATAGATACAACAGAGCTTACATAGATACAGCAGGGCTTACATAGATACAGCAGAGCTTGCATAGATACAGCAGAGCTTTCAAAGATACAGCAGAGCTTAAATAAATTAAGGAGAGCTACATTTATTTTTCTCTTTCTTTAAACATGTAAACATAAATTCCAGATTTAGCCATTGAAATATATAAAGCCCGAATTTGGTTGGAAATAAACTCATGCAAATTTTCCCCATTAAACTTACAAAGATATGCGTGAACTTATATGTATGCAATATTCAGAATACATACGCCCTAAACCAGTTAACTTTTCATCTAATTAAATGGAAAATCAATATCAATTCCACATTGTTTAAATGTTCAATTTACAATTTCAATGTGATAATACCAGATTTAAATTCATAATTTCTAATTATCAAAAATTGCAGTTTAATATTTATAATTACTGACTTCAAATCAGACAGTTTTGTTTAAATTTTATTCAATTTGCAAGATAATGTTGATAGAATAATTATACTTAATTGCTACATTTCAAAGTTTGCAAGACTTATTATTTTGATAGAAATTGCGCAATTTTCAAAATATAGGTTTTCTTTTGTTTTTATCACATTACACCATGGGAACGAACTAAATTTGAAATGTGATATTTTTATTGTTTTATTTAATACTTTTACAATATTTGAGAAAAGAAAACAAGAAAACTTTTATAAAAGTTGCATTATGTAATTTGGACCATTTGATTTCCATGAGCAAATTAGTTTTATTTAACCTTATATGTGTAGCATTTAGAGAGGTTTCAAATTCGGTGATGGTGATGGATCAAACCTCTGTGGAGTAAAAAAAGTAGATTTTAGTTCCACATTTATTGAAAATATATTTCGGTCTGGGTTGACCCTGGTCAATTCTTGAGATTGTTTCTGTCACAAAGATAAAAACAAACATTTAGAGAGCTTTATTTCTCTAAAAATAGTTTTAGCTTTAAGGTGTTGATTCTTATAAGTCGTCTTTTATTTTACTCCAATAGAAATCAATTTTCCCAGTTTTTGTTGCTCAAGAAATAAGTTGGCTGATGATACCAAACTTGGAATCTGTTTAACCTGTAGAGCCGAGGTGAAATAGAACCAGTGGAGAGAAACCAGCTGCACACAGTTCAACCACAATGAAGCCAACCGCAAACCAGTAATAATATCTGATAAAGACCTTCAATTAAGGGTTAAACTCTTTTAGCTTTTCATTTTCTAATTCTCATATATTTGCTGTGAACTTCTGTTGCAGGGTTCGATTTTTTAATTGTCCCTTAGCGGAACTTTTTACCCAGGGCTAGCTTTCATTCCCCACCATGCATTAATTAAACAAATAATTTCTACCTTTATTCCTTGAATTAATATTAACTTTCATCCAGGGTAGAACAAGTTTTTAAACAACTTTTAATAACGTTTTTTACACTGGCCTAAAGGGATTGTTCATATTTTCTAAAAAAATCATTGGAAATAAATTGAATTTTTGCCACAAACTCAAACTTTTTAATCTTTATATCTTAGCAACTTGAAGGTGAAACCTTTAATATATCCAACTTAGATTATTTGATTAACCAGAATTCATAGTTAGAATTATCAGAGGTCTACTACTGTGTTTCATAAATACATGTATTAGTAAATTAGAGTTTGTGGCAAAGACTCTTTTGTAAATCAAAACAAGATTGATTTGCGTGGTTGATAAAATGATGGAGAAGGATGAGGTGAGCAAGACCGAAGAGATGGAAGAGACGGAAGAGACGGAAGAGACGATAGAGAAGGAAGAAACGGAAGAGATGGAAGGGAGGGAAGAGACAATAGAGACGGAAGAGATGGAAGAAACGGAAGAGATGGAAGAGATGGAAGAGACAAAAGAGATGGAAGAGACGGAAGAGAAGGGACAGAAGCGATGGAGGAGATGGAAGAGACAGAAGAGACGGAAGAGATGGAAGAGACGAAAGCAATGGAAAAGACGGAAGAGGCAGAAAATACGGAAGAGACAGAAGAGACAGAAGAAACGGAAGAGACGGAAGACACAGAAAAGACTGAAGAGATGGAAGAGAAGGAAAAGACAGAAGAGAAGGAAAAGACGGAAGAGACGGAAGAGACAGAATGGACAAAAAAGACGATGCAGTAAGAAGGGATCAAGAGGAGGACAAAATAAAGTAGTGAAGGGAGGAAAGGACAGCGAAAGTGTCGGGAGGTGGAACAAGGTAAGAAGGAGGGAGTATGAAGGGGCGAGGGAAAGTGAAGAAAGGAGAAAATGGCGTGGGAATTGGGGAAGGAAGGTGGTTCAGGTCATTGAGGAGTTTGTCATGGGATACCATGTCGAAGGCTTTAGATAGGTCAATTTGAAGGGGGACAGTTCTGTCAGCAGGTTTTTCTGATTAAAACCTCTGGTGATGTCTTGATTTAGGTCATTGAGGGCAGATAGTGAAGAGTGGTTTTTCCTGAAACCATGTTGGAAGTTCGGGATAGGAAGGTGTTCTGTGAGTTCAGGTAGGATTAGTCTTTCTAAGATTTTAGCTGCAGGGCATAGAAGTGAAACATGTCTATAGGATTTGGATTCAGCAGAATCTTTTCCTGGTTTAAGGAGAGGGATGATTATCGAGTTTTTCCATATTTGAGGGATTTTACTGTTCTGAAGTGAGAGGTTGAAAATGTTAGTTAGATACTCAAGTCCTAGTGGTCCAACGTGTTTAAGATGAAGGTTGGATATTCCGTTAGGTCCTATTGCTTCGGAGGTTTTGGCTTGTTTTATTGCTTCACTTGTATCAGATGCGGTGATTATTGTAGCTCCTGATGTAGTGTTCCTTTGTGATTCTTTAAAGATGGTTCTAGTGAGTTTGGAGCTGGTGTGCCTTGAGACAGATGTGTATTGTTTGTTGAAGTTATTTGCAATATTTGATGCAGTGGACAGGTACTTTCCCTTTGAATCTGATTCCTTGGTTCTGTTTGCTTTGTGGTTGTCCATTGAGTCGTTTAAGAAGGTTGAAAAGTTTGGAAGGGTCTGTCTTCCTATTTATGTTTCCTACTTTTTCTCTCCATTTTTCTTGTTTATGTTTGTTTATTAGTTTGTTTATCTCATAGTTGAGTTCTGGAATCTGTGGAGATTGTGGGTTTGTTTTCCTTAGTTCATCTCTCTCAAGTATCTTTTTCTTGACTGTGGTTGGGACTTTTGGGAATATTTCTTTGATTCGTCCTTTAGTTATTGTGTTTCTGGATACTCTGTTGATGACTTCTCTAAAATCTTGTTCAGCTCTGTAGACATCTGTGGGTGGGTTGGGTTTAGAAATCTCCTCTTCTGAGGTTAGGGTGAAGTTCACCCAGTCAGCTTTTTTGAAATTTATGTAAGTTTTGTTCTCACTCATTATGAGTTTGAGTGTTGTTGTACAAGTTATAACAATGGGTAGATGGTCAGATCCTAAGCTTGGAGATGTTGTCCAGTTACAGTATGGGAGTAGAGGGGTGCCTGCAAGTGATATATCAGACGAAGTTGGTTGTGAGTTTCTGGAGGTTCTGGTAAGCATGTCCATGTTCAGGACACCAAAGGAGCTGGCTCCAATTGCATCAGAGACCAGGGTACCTCTGGAGTCTTGGATGGGGGAGAATCATAGTGGGTCATGGGCATTAAATTCACCCATAATTATTGTACTATTGTCTGTAATAAGCATGGCTAGATTTGGTGAAAACCCGATATCACAGCTGCTGGCAGGGGGAATATATATATTTATAATTTTTATATTGTCGACCCTTATGGCGAGGTATTCTGTAAATTTGTCAAGTTGGACATCTGGAAGGGGTTCGAAGGGAATAGTTCCATGAACCAACCAGAAAGGCTAGTCCTCCACCAGTATCTCGTTCTCTAACTTTTCTTATCAGTGTATAATTAGGAAAGTTTGGAGGCTTTGATTTGTTGGTGAGTTTGGTTTCTTGGATTGCTGCTATTTTTATGTCGTTTTCCTTTAGCCATAGGTTTAGTTCTGTGGATTTGTTGCTACTCCATTGCAGTTTAATTGTAGAATTTTCAGATTGCAGTTCTTTGGTTGGTTGTTTTCTTTGGATTTGATCTGTTGATAAGTAGGTTGTTGACTGGTAGTTGTTGTAGTTGTTGACTAGTTGTGTTGTTGCTATCACATACTGTTTTAGTATTAGGTTGTTTATTAGTTGTGTTGTTGCTATCACAGCATGTGGGGCACTGGAAGAAAAGTGAGTAATTTCTGATTGATTTAAGTTGACTACAGTTTGTTTCTTTATTTTTACATAGGTGGCACCAGTTATTACATTTGTTGCACTTTACTGTGGTTTGTGTTCGTTCGTTTATCTGTTGGTTACATACACTGCAGACCCATCCTCGTCCAGGAATAGGGCCCGGGTTGGGTTCTATACCGGCAATCAACAGTAGCATTCTGACCATTCCCGCCAGAGGGAGCTGGTCTTTAATTACAAAAAACATTGGACTGAAAGATCTCTTGGTTCTTTGTCAGAAACTGAAGAGTTTGATGAGAGGCTTTGAAGTGCTTCACAGCACTGTCGGTTGCACCACATGAAGGCTCTCTCTTGGCAACCAAGTCTACTCTCCCCCCTTTTGTTAAACGCAGGTTAAGCTGCTACCTGAGAGGCAGACAATCCAAGGTTAATTTCAGGAATAAACAGTCAAATTCAAGGAACTTCAGAACAGGCGTTCCTCAAGGAGCGGTAATCTCACCGATCCTCTTCAATTTCTATCTCAAAGATCTGCCTTCCCCCCCTCCAGGCATTTAAGTAATTCAATATGCTGATGACATATCAATCTACTCCTCAGGGAAATCCATCACCTCCATGTCAATCAGCATCAACAACTATGTTAATAAAGTAACAGACTTTCTGGAAGAAAGAGAACTATTAGTCTCTCCAGAAAAATCAACCGTCACTCTCTTCACTCCAGATTCCCATGAAGCCAAAATCCATCCCCAGATCAAAATCAAAAACCTACTTGTTCCTCTAGAAAAACATCCCAGACTCCTTGGAGTAACTTTTGACACCATGCACACCTTCAACCAACACGCCAAACTAACAGCCTCAAAAGCAAGTAAGAAAATAAACATATCAAAATCACTGGCAGGATCCACATGGGGCCTAAGCAAGGAAACGTTAATCCTTACCTACAAATATACTTGTAGGAGCGTCTTAGGATGGAAGGTGGAGGGAGGAGGTAGGATGGAAGGTGGAGGGAGGTAGGATGGAAGGTGGAGGGAGGTAGGATGGAATGTGGAGAGAGAAAGAAAAATCAAGGAAAGGCGGAGTAAAGAGAATGGATGGAAGTTGGAGGGATCTGAGTAAAAAGGATTGTTGTTTAAAGGGAGTGACCGGCTATGTAAGGTAGTTTAACTGAGTATTCAGTGTTGTGGAAAACTTCTTTCGGATTCATTTGAGACTTATTAAACTTTTAATAGATCTTTAAATCTTTAAAAAGTTTGTCTCAAATGAATCCGAAATAAGTTTTTCAAAACACTGCATACTCAGTTCAACTACCTTACATAGCCGGTCACTCCCTTTAAGGTACAGATCTTCTTTAAAATCAGAGAATGCATAAAACATGATTAATTCAAACAAAAAATAATCATACTTTTTCAATTATAATTTAAATATATTGATTAAAACAGAATGCATTCAAAATCTTAATTATAGAGTTTGTATTTTAGAGGCAATTTAAAGATTTTTAAAGTTGAATTTCTTGCTAAATATATTTTTTTTTATCATGATTTTACAAAAAAATCTTATAGTTTTATAAGAAAAGTATCTGCTTACTACCATACCATACCCATGTTAATAAAAAATTCACCTATTTTTCAGCAAAAAAAGGCATTTTATACGTTCACCAGTTCCTCTCATAAGCATTTGTGTTAAATTATTTCAAAGTTCCGTTAAAAGATTATTTCCCTTCAAACAATTAATATGTATAATTTTGTTTTACTTGAAAGCTTTTACATGTTCAAGGACGGGATTTAATGAATTTGATAAAGGTTGCTGAATTCCTATCGTCGATTCAAATACTTATTCTGCAGTGTATGTTATCATATATAGGACATGAACAAAGTTGAATCAACAATTCCATGTCATATATGAATCGACGTGAAGTAGTTTAGCGACCTAATTCAAAATATTAAAATTCTATCCCTGGTTGGGTTCGATAAGCACACGGTGTTAATAATTCAAAACACTTTTAAGGGAATGCGTTAACGTTGAGATGCGTGAACCTAAAATTAAATAAACAACACTTAAATTGCTTAATGGAGTATTTACACATCAAATTATATCATTTATAGCATACATGAGTATTTTTCATAGTCCAAAGAAAAATATAGATATGTTTTTTATATGGAAGCTCAATTCAAATTCTAGAATTTTTATGCTCTAAAAAACAAATTCACTAGCAATTTACTTTCAAATAAATTGACCTAAGATTTTTTTAAGTGAAAATAAAAATGATCAGATTTGTGTAAAAATGTCTTTATCTTAAAGTTCAAAATTTTAGTTAAATTGAAAGATCTGATATGATGGTAGAAGGAACAGGGGTTGCGTTCATATTTTCCTGTAACGTAATTGGGACTGCTTAGGAACAAGTTCAAATTAAATAAACAAGAAGAAAATGATTCATAGTCTGCAGCCTTCCTACCCTGCCCAATAAACTCCAGCCTTTGTTAGCCTTTGTTTACATTCTGACATTGTGATAAAACTAGTTCCAAGAGTTCCTAGTGCATCACAGTACATTATGTACAAAAGCTCTTTCCCTCTAACCTTCAACTCCTTCAACTGTTGTTATACACACCTTGGTTGAACTCAAAACTCTAAAAACTACATCTTTTAAAACAATTTTGTTTACTTTGATACGTCTGTAATCTAGAGCTTATGATTACAATGCACCGAGCCGTAATCATATCTATGTTTTCATGTCCCTATGGTTCCTTGTCTCTATGGTTCAGCTTGTCTCTTATTATCTTGATTTGATATTAGTTCAGTCTAATCATCTCTATGTTTATCATTTTAAATCCCGTGTCTTAATTGAAGCATTGCCTTTTCCGTCATACTCAATACTGAAATAGAAATAGAAACTTTAACAAACTATACTCAAATAATTTCAAGGGGTTTTACTATTAAAGAGTTAAATGATCGATTCACAACGGTCCCATAAAATCTTAAATGATACGTCAAAATGATGGATATATTCCCGCTTTTCTTCTATAAAAGTTGTAAATTTTTAATAAAAATTATGCAGAAAAGACATGGTAGAAAATTAACAGAATTTACCTCTTATTAGAAAACAACAACGACATGTTTACCATTATTACTCACATTTACGGGTTTAAATGATACCGTTGTGCATCGGGCATGGAGCTCTTAAAATCACATCGATAGTCCAGTATTTGAAAATAGAAACTTAATCATTTATACCTAGAATTTATAAACTAAGAAATTGTAAGTTTAAACAGAATTAAAAATGTAAACTTTGTCCGAAAAATACAACATTTTTGAGAAATAAAACTTATTATTAGATTAAAGTTTTAATATGAATTAAGAAGTTTTAATGAGGTTTGAAATAGACAGTAATTTTAATTTTAAATAGTACAATGGTCTACGCCAATTCAGCTCAGGAGAAAGGTAGTTAACCCTTTCCTGTGGTGGGGTAGGGGGGGGGGGGTCCTTAACATAATTAACAAACAAAAATACCGCCTTCACAAGTGCGTTTTATGTTCAAGCTGACTTTGCCATCCTTACAATTTACAGGAAAAATAAGTGAGTTTTTGCCAAAAACACTAATTTTCCTTCCCCTATATCTTTGCTACCTGTTGATGTTAACTTTTGTAATTTCAAACTTAAATTATTTGATCTTTTAGAATTCATAGATTGAAATGTCTTAGATATAGGGATTAGAAAATCAGAGTTTGCGATACAAATTCAAGAATTTTACGGGAAATTATGAAAATTTGAAAAAAAAACTAAAATAGCCACGTAGCCCGTCACGGATTTTTAACATTTTGGTTCTTATTCCAGCAAGCTGTGACTTTCTATCCCAGTTTGGTATATTCAAGGTTATAATGTAAAGAAAGTTATTTCAGATGTGTACATTAAATGCTTTTATCCTCCACGGATACTAAACGAACACTGATGTATCTATTCAGAGTATACGCAACTGCAGCTATTAACTTTCATTGCATTAAAACCTTGGGCATATTAAACATACATTTTTCCCATTTATATACTTCTTTGTCGGTATATGATGCCTCATTAATGAAAAGTATTAAAGGACAACTCCAGAAGTTGAAAGATTGCTGAATATTCGACGAAAACGTCAAAGGTCTAAAGGAATTGAGTCTTTGTCACAAACTCTGATTTTCTCATCCCTAATTTCTTTACAACCGGCCCATTGTTGTAAACCTTAGATATTTAAAACTATGAATTATGTTAGATCAAAAATTCGAAGTTTTAAATACCAAAGGTTTACACTATCAGATTGCAAAAATATTGGGATTTGAACATTTGAGTTTGTGGCAAAGACTCAATTCCTTTGTCAATAATAAAAGACGGATTAGGTTAGAGAATCACTCTAGTTGCTTTAGTTTAAAACTCAAAAGTAAGGTCAATAAGTGTTATGATCCAATTATAAAAAATCGGTAATGTGAGTTAAAAGAGAAAACCAAATCGATAACATAACTATACGAAAACTTTACCTGGAGTCTAAAAAATATGTCACCTGTATTTTTCAATATCTAGGTTTAGTCTCTGTAGAGTATTTATTTCCTCAGCTTTTCGCAGAACTTTCAAAGAATCCTAAAAAATAGTTTATGCACAATATTCAGAATAATGCACATTCTTCATTCATTGTATCTATTTATCTATCTATCTAATGTCCTTTTCTCAAGTTAAGAAAACTTTTCCATGAAAGGGACCGTCAAAGTAATTTTAAATGATTCTCATCATCAAATCATATTTTTTTCTGCAGTAATAAATCATAACATTTATCAACAAAACATTAATACATTAAGCATATGTAAAAATACTGCAGCAGGAGAGCTTTGATAGCGTAGAGCTGTTTTTACAAAGCTCACAAAAAAGTCATTGCTCTCAGTTTTAAAACTGTCACCAACAATTATTTGACTTATAGGCAATAGTAGTTTAAACGATTAAAAACTAAAAAAACATTGTTCTCTGCAATATTATGTATACAATTAAAATGCCCTCACATATATAACTGACAATTTCCACTATTTGCCAAATCTGATCCGTTAATTATAATAAACTCCTCAAGCTCTTTACTTTTAATCTCCTTTTGAAGTTTTTAGGTTAAAATTGCAATTGGTCTTCGATATCAGGTTTAGGGTTACCCAAAAAGGATGAGCCTTTAGAAAGACGAGTGTTTATTCAGTCTTAATTTTTACATTAAATGTTTCATGAGTTCCATGCAGCCCTAACTTGATTCTGTCCTTTTCAAATCATTTAATATTTCACCCATAAACTATATTACAGACATACAAACAAGTTTAACTTTTGAATCTTTGAGATTAGTAATCAGTTCCTGTTCGAAACCATTTCGAAACTCTTCTTCTCTGGGACTGTAAGCTTAGTTTCAAGCTTGATCCTTCATGCAAAGAAGGCAATGTCCGATTTATAGCGGTACCCTTCAAGGCTGTGCCTGCATTTATTAGATTTCAATGTGTTTTTGCTTTAAACTGTTTATTTTCATTTGCGGTTTCTCTGCGAAATTGACTTGCTTATAGGAAGTAATGGAGAAACTCACAGAAATAAACACTTTTAGGTCATTTTAAATTACTCTTACAGTCCCTTTAAATAAAAATTTTAAAGTATTTACCCGCTCTTTCATATATTCTTGTTTCTTCCTGTTCAATTGCTCCACATGGAGCCTTGTCTTCATTAGCTTTTCTCTAAGCTCCTAAGAAAACGATTTTGTTTAAAACTGTTTTTTTTGTCAGCATCTCTTTTAACTTGCAATTAAGTTGTTTAACAAAAAGATGAAAGTTATATATGCTCCTTTAAAAAACCTGAATGTTTTTATAGCTTATAAATGGTCCATGGAGCCCAAACTGCTTATTTTCTAGCCAGATTGTAATAATCTCTCAAAAGTAAATAACATAAAATGAAACAGCTTTTTAGTATTTTTTTCAAAATAGATTAAATTTGATAGATAATTGAATGCAAAAACAGAACTGGATCTCACAAATTAAAAACACAGAATTGGATTTTGAAAATTTAATATTTTTTTACGTTAAAAAAGAAAAAAATTTTGTGAATACTTTTGTGCATATTATACTTACATCAATTTCGTCTATTTTGCGTCTTCTACAATTGTGCGCTGCAACTAGGTTCTTTCCCCGTCTTCTAATATTAAAAATCTTATTTAAAAAAAATTAATTAAAAAAACTAAATGCAACAACTATTAATGCAAATATTAATAAATGCATTCGCCATTCAATCATAATATCATCTTTTATTTTATTTAAAAAATGTCTGACAAAAATCTGTTTAAAAACAAATGAAAACTTGAAATAATACGTTCCAGACCTCAAAACTAAAGTGATACATCAAGCCTTTGTAATGGACGCAAAGTTTTATTTTTCATGAAAATAATTCGGTTTTCTTTGTAAAAATATTTTTATTTTGAAGTTTAAAAGGATATTGAATCCGTTTCATTGAATGCAATTGTTAGATTTGTTGACGAGTGATATTCAGGGTTATATATATATTTATAATAAATTATAACCCTCGGGCCCCACCTTCATTTCAAAATCATTTTCGCCAACTTTGTTTTTAATTTTTGAGTGAAGCGGAAGTTTTTTTTTGTTTATTTGGGGGAAATCTTTACCCCTGGTTCTCTAAAGAATATAAAATAGACAGATTATGGACATTTCAAACATTTTCAAATCAAAATTCCAATGGTTTGCCCTTTGCACTCAACAAAACACAGGGGAAGTGTAAAAACATACTTTTCCTTGGGTTAGGGGGGGGATTCATATTTTTGATTTTTGTTCTTTCAATTAATCATTTTTTATCGTTCTTGTTGTCACAACAGAATTAGCATGAAAAAAATATCTACAAATCTCATAGAATTCAATGATGTAATGATGGGTGCACATCAAAAGTTAAAGTAGAAACTGTAGCAGAACCCGTGTTATGTTTCAAGCTAAAAAAAATTAGTTCTCGACTTTTTTTGTAGGTTTCATGATTTGTAGAAGATAGATGTGTGAATTTCGAAAACTAATTCTTTAACAGAATTTCTATTAAAAAGAAAATTTCGTAAAAAATACGTAATGAAGGCTAACGTAGAATTAAATATATTTTTCGCATTAAAAATCTACTTTTATTAATGGCTTATTTGTTTCTCTCTTATAAATCATAAAAAATATTTTTCGACAAATTCTGCCATTTTTAGAGAGAAAAAAAAAGTAGAAATAATCTTACATGATATGTAATTAGAGAACCTTTTTTATTAATGACAGCTCTTGTCGGACTCTTAAAAGGTTCCACACAAATCAGTTGAATTTATAAAAAATTTTAATCAATTTTTCTAAACATTTGCTTTTTTCATTATCCAAAATTTTAACCCAAATGGAAAATAATTTCAAAAAAACTTTTCTTTTGTTTTTTTCTTCTTTTTTAATGATACAATTCTTTTTTTTCATGATACAATTCTTTTATACTTTCATAATACAATTTTTTTATGATATAATTGCCAAATTTAATACAGTTTTAAAATTGTGAAAGTTTTATAAAAGGTTTTTAAAACACAGTCCCTTTAAAGCGTTTTTGAAAATGCATTTGTTTGAATATTTGTTTGAATATTTGTTTGAATATTTGTTATTTGTTTGAATATTTGTTTGAATATTTGTTTGAATATTTGTTAGAATATTTGTTTGAATATTTGTTTGAATATTTGTTTGAATATTTGTTAGAAAAGTGTGTTAAAAGTTTACATTAAGTGTATTTAAATTAAATAAAGCTTTGTTACATTATTACTTATGAATAATAAAGTGTAAATCAATTAGCCCGACATTTTAATAACATCAAATATATTTTAGGTATATTATAACTTTACTGAAACATGGTAATCATAAAATGCATTTGCTTCATGCAATTCCGAGTTAATATATCCTTTATTCTGTTATATCTCTCATAAAGTGTAATTTTCTTCAGTTACTTTAAACACAGGATCTTATATTCTTACTCAACACTAGTCCTGTATCCTGTATCCTATGTCCTGTATTTTGTAGCCGGTATCTCGTAGCCTGTATTATGTATCATGTATCCTGTATCCTCTATCCTGTTTCCTGCATCCTGTGTCCTGTATCCTGTATCCTGTATCCTGTATCCTGTATCCTGTATCCTGTATCCTGTATCCTGTATCCTGTATCCAGTCCTTTATCCTGTATCCTGTATCCTGTATCCTGTAACCTGTGTCCTGTATTCTGTATCCTGTATCCTATATCCTGTATCCTGTATCCTGTATCCTGTGTCCTGTATCCTGTATCCTGTATCCTGTATCCTGTATCCTGTATCCTGTATCCTGTATCCTGTATCCTGTATCCTGTATCCTGTATCCTGTATCCTGTATACTGTATCCTGTAGCCTGTAGCCTGTAGCCTGTATCCTATATCCTGTATCCTACCTAATATCTCTAAGAATGTTCATCTGTTCCTCTGTAAAGCTATGACGAAGAGCATATGAAGAAAACTCATCCATAGGTAGATTCACTATACTGTCCACATCCTGAATAATATATATATATGGGTATATATATCTTATATATAGGTAGATTTACTATACTAATCAAATAATAATTATTAAAACAAATATATATATATATATATATACATATTATATCCCGAAGCATAATGTTGATACAATAAAAACTCAAATCATGTGTTGGGAACTTTTGTATAGTGGATATCGAGATCAATGTTTGATCTCGATCTGTTGTTAATCTGCAGATTATTATTAGATATCCCACAGTGTATTTGTACCTTCGAGAGATAACTAAAATGAATGGATGAAGCATTAATTCTCAAATTAAATGTGCCCAGAGTGGATATCGGGATCAAGCGAGCAGGATTATAAATACAAAATTTCCCAGCTCAGGGCACTTTTTAGAAGTAGTTAGTGGCAATCAAAAGACTATAAGAAGACGACGACAATTCCAATGTTTTCTGGAGTCAACTGTATGTGTATCAACAAAAGCCATAGTTATCAAGAAGTTTACTATTTGAGAGAAAACTTATGAAATTGATTTAGATAAAGTTACAATGCAATGCAATATTACATTTTAATATGTGTTTAAATTTTTGCCAAAAAGAAGTTCAAATTTAACAAATCAGGTTTTATTTAATCAATTAAAAACATGTGTTTCCTTGTTAATTCCTTAAAGCCTACAATCCATCTTTTTACTTGAAATCTCATTAAAAGGTCCACCCCGTACAACCCACGCACGTACTCTACTATAGTCTGTTCGGGTTGAAATAATATGACGAAAACTCAGTTTTTGAAAACACATTATATGGGTTCTCGCCTTTTCTCTTTACACTTATGGCTTTGAACTGTTTCTCCATTAATATCGTTCCTAAATGTTCGAGGATTTTTCTGCTTAAATTGGAGCATTTTAATAATAAAAAAATGTTGACATATTTTTATATTTCTCAGATTTGACGGTCCAGAATCAACCTTCCCTGGGGTCATGTGAGTAACCACAAAAATGTTGTGTCTGATCGGTTCAACTAGTAAAACCATTTTGACGTTTATTGAATAAACAGATAGACAGACGAACAAACAGAGAAACCAAATATTTCGAAAGATTTTAATGCTTAAAAATGATAACACGTTGTCTTAAAATATTTTTTATTTCTACTTTTAGTTGATTTCTTTTTGAAAATCCATGAAATATGTATATTGTTTGTACTATGTAGTATTGTTAATATCTTTGACATTAAATGTAAGGTTTATTTTAATAGATGATTATTAAATGGCCGGAGGCCTCTGCTATGAAACAAAAGTTTGTACGAAGTTTTCAAACAAAAGAAAAGTATTTTTGTTGTAGAAATTGTCAGTTTTTTGCTAATTATTTTCGTTCACCAACATTTCCGAAATGTCTTCTGTTTTGTTTGAACGTCAAAGATAATCTCAAAATGAGAAGAACAATAAAATTATGTTTGCATTAAAACGATACAACGTGCGTTGCACCCTTTCCACCTCTCCGCGCGCACAACTTAATGACATGTCTTACTTTAAGCACGCAAGCGCCTTACTTGGAAACAATACAGGGTGCATAACAATATAATGGACTTTGATTCCCCCCCCCATGCACCCACAACCCCTTCACAAAAATAAAAGTGTTAAGGGACTGTAAAGGAAAAGTTAAAGGTGGTATAGAATGAAACCTGAAAATCTCAGGCATTAAACGTTACATATAAGACATCTGTCTGATGTTCCTGTCTCGAGAAATTGATATAAAACTGTGTCAAATTGATACGAAAATTCATATAAATGAAATTTTCTATATGCAACCAATCTGAAAACGACGATATCCCACAGGAACCTGAGAATTTCAGGTTTTCTCCTGTTAAATTTCTTATTCTTATTTTGCATTTTTAATAGATATAATCGATAATATTATTACATATAGTCCGCACAGTCCGTATTACGTTACAATAACTTCAGCCAATGGCAGTGCAGTATACTGGTCACGTGATTTCTATCTGCATCACTTGGCAATAAGTTTTTGTCACAACCTCTGATTTTCTAATCCTTTTATCTGTGCAACCCAATGTCGTAGACCTTTGATATTTCAAACTATAAATTCTCTTAGTTTATAATAGTCTAAGTTAAAATATATCAAAGGTTTACATCATCAGGTTATACAGATTTAGGGAAAATCTAAAACAAAATGAAACGATTTTTGCAATTTTTTAACAGGCTTATGTTTCTAAAATGTCAAATGCATTTTAGATTAAAACGTATTTGGATTTGTATGATTTAATTAGCCCGACACAGGGCGTCCCAATTTATTTTAAATGAAACACAATCGTATAAATAGGGATTTTCTGGATTATCTACAAAAAAAAGTATTTAAGGCTAACTTTTAGGATAAGCAGTTGTGTACTGTACACAGAAATTTAGTCTTTGCCAAATAAGCTCAAACTTCCTAATCCCGCTATATCTTTGCAACCTAATAATGTGTAAACCTTTGATATTTTAAACCGAGACTATTTGGTCTGACATAACTCATAATCTATCTAAGGCCAACGACATTGGGGTGCACTAAAGTTAATCTTTAAAGTTAATCTAATATGACGCGGGACACTCTATACTAACTCATCCACGTGACATTTCCCAAAAAGGAGAAAGTAATCAGCACTATAGAAAATCATCTTGTGGACCTTAATAAAAACTGCGTTCTTAATCTAGAATATATTTGCTCTCACATACATACACGTAAGTAGTTCAAAACAAAAGGAGCTATAAGAGTACAAGGTCGTACCGTTTTAGAATTAAGCAATATAAGTCACAGTGACTTATAAACGCTCCCTCCCCCCTTCTCAATTTTATTTCTTCTCACACAACCCTCCATAGCTACAGCGCAGACAACAAGTTGTTGACTCCTCTGTTTATTTTTCCCAGATGCACATTGGTTTATTCAGATGTGCAGTATAATAATACCATTAAAAAATTCTTCAAATTTTGTGATGCTGAACAATTAAACTAGAATTTTAGTTTAAAGTTTAGTTAAAGAATTTTTGTTATTTTAAAAAGGCCAGCTTTTATGTGTAAACTGCATAAGTGCAGTATTTCATGTTTTTTTTAACTATTCAAAATCATAACTTAAATCTAACATTTTTCTTCCAATTTTCTAAAGTAATCGCCAATGTTGAATTCATTTTTTTTACAATATATTACAAGTACAGTGAGAATCATAAAACTGTGAAATAGAAATAGGAAGACGACTTTTAGACGTAAGTTATGGCTTTGCACAGTCCAATAACAATATCAATTGTGCAGTGTAAACAGACTAATTTTACTTAATAAGTTACAATGAAATCTATTTACTTTGTAACACCATTAGAAACACTTAAATAATAATTTAATGTCGCTTCTATTCCATAGTTTTCTGGTTCTCACTGTAAATATCCAAAAAGTATACCTATCATCTAAACATCTTGAAAAAAACACAACATAAAGGATGTTATTATAATCTATTAAGCTGAATGCCCAGGATGCTACTCCTATAAAAACTCATAACACGTATCAGAAATTATCAAGCGTAAAAACTCCAAAGGTTAAAAGAAAAGTACAAAAAATCGTTTGAAAATTAGAATCATAAAAACATCATAAAATAGAAAAAAATAATTATCTTTTTATCTAGTGTTTTTTTTCTTTTCATTGCAATTTTCTTTTAATTGGGAGGTTTTGTATTTCTGCTGCAAAAATGTTCACATCTGCTTTGCTCTATAATTTACGTTCCTATTTGATTTTAAATGTATAAATGAAATCCCTTTAAATTATCTTAATTTTATTCGGTTCAGCCGTTTTGACGTTCATTGGATACAAACAAACAAACAAACAAACAGAAAAGCAAAGTGTATATAGATTTCAAAAATTATTGATGGCTAGATAAAGGGGGGGGCAAACCCCCCCCCCCTAGACAATTACAAAATAAAATTTTGCCCCCCCCCACCCCCTACCAAAAGTGCTAGTTGCGCCTCTGCATTTTATAACACTAAAATTGACTTTTAATACATAAGGAACAAAAGGAAAACATTAAACAAGTGTTTAAGTTATATCTGTATTAATCTTGTAAATATTTCTAACTACGTCAAACCTTTGTGGCAAATTCAAATTACTGCAAAGTTAAAAATCTAAATTGAAAATGAAAACCTTATGGCAACTTTAACTCTAGGTTTAAAGGTATGAAAAAAACCTTTAAAATGTCAAGAGGGAAAAGTTTCAAATCCGAAATTTGTCTGAATTTGATATCGTTAGGAGACTTTTCTTCAATGAGATTTATAGGTAAAAGAAACTTGACAATATGTAAATACGCAAATAAAATAGTTCAACCCTTATAAAATTTTAAATTTTAAAAATAAATGTTAATTGGTCAAATTATGATCGAAAGCCACTTCTTTCTGGGTTTTTATCAGTTTGAAACTGACATTTATTGACATATCTTGGATATAGTCTAAATATTGAACTGTAAGCCCCTGAAATTTGAATTGTAGGCGTTTTAGCTTGCAAATTGTTTAAACTGAGTTGACTTGAACTAATCCTAACTTAACCTTCACAACACATGTTTTCTAAATTTATTTGCTACATGTTTAATCTGACTGTAGAGTGTAGATAGTTGCTCTCCATGATAAAATTCTTAATTTCTAGAGGTTTTATATGAAACCTAGGGTACCAGATAAAAACGTTTTAGGAAACAACCAGAAAATAGTTTTAAGAACAACACCAAACTATTTCACTTACAAACTACATAAATTCAGATAAAATTATTTATTGATTTATTTAATAAATAAACATGCATTTTGTCACAAGTATATTGTAAACAAAACTATCTTCATCGGTTTAGAATTCATGTTTAAACATTTTGGTATTCGGAATTGAACGTTAAATTAAAATTAATTTATTTAAATTGTTTACGTTTTCAAACAAAATTAATTTTTTTAGTGATTTAGAATTTCCAAATAAAATTAAACGTCTTCCTACGTTAACATTAGAGTGCACGTATACATAATTGCTCAAGAAAGTACAATATTTAAAAGTTGTGTCTGTTAAAAATGTCGACTTTTATCATTTTTGGAAAAGTCTGCGAAAATTGTATTTTATTTGAGTACGATGAAAGTACGAGTAGTATGAAATATCAATAAAAAAAACTGAAATTTATACAAAAAAAATATGCAAAGAAACGCCCATAAATCTGTTACAATAAATTGCAAAAAGGAAAGTCAGAAAAAGAATTTAGATTTTAATTTCTGCATTCAGTCTTTATGAAGTATATATCCTTTAATATACAAAAGAAAACAAATATGTACAGATAAAAAACAAATATGTACAGATATAAAACAAAAAAACTGTTTAAGGAAAATATACTAAGATTCTCCACATTAAAAAGCAAAATACAACAAAGATCACAAGTCCTTTATACTATTAAAGCTAATATTGGTAAAATTATTGATACTATATTAATGTAACAGTATCAAATATGTGCACATGTCGTCTTCATATTTCCCAGTTTTATGGGTGTCTCTGTATCTCCCTAAAGTGACTGTATGCAAAATGTCAAGTGACCTTCCATTTAAAGAGGACTACCCCCGATTTACAATGGTACCGTTGAAACCTTTGTCTGATCAAGGATGAATTAGATGTTCATGTTTTTGATTAATTTAAACTGGTTATTTTCCTATTTGAGGATTCTCTGAGAAAGAGAATTGCTCATTTCTTGTTTATAATAAAAACCAATGGAAAAACTCACAGAAAAAAAATGATATCCTCCACATTTTTGATCAGATAAAGTTTCCAAGGGTACCGTTGTAAATCGGGCATTGTCATCTTTGCAAGAAGGGTCATTTGAAATTAAACTTATAGTCCCTTTAATCTATGCTTATCTAACCTGTCTAGGTAGACCCAAAGATTCAGCGAGGAGTTCGTTTTTTGTTCTCTGAGCTCCCAGATATAAGGCGTGGGGGGATCCTTTCCCTCGACATCTTAATCCTGTATCTCCAGGTAGACTAAATAACAGGAGGATTAGTTTAATCCTGTATCTCCAGGTAGACTAAATAACAGGAGGATTAGTTTAATCCTGTATCTCCAGGTAGACTAAACAACAGTTAATCCTGTATCTCCAGGTAGACTAAATAACAGGAGGATTAGTTTAATCCTGTATCTCCAGGTAGACTAAACAACAGGAGGATTAGTTTAATCCTGTATCTACAGGTAAGCTAAACAACAGAAGGATTAGTTTAATCCTGTATCTCCAGGTAAACTAAAAACAGGAGGATTAGTTTAATCCTGAATCTCCAGGTAGACTAAACAACAAAAGGATTAGTTTAATCCTGTATCTCCATATAGACTAAACAACAGGAGAATTAGTTTAATCCTGTATCTTCAGGTAGACTAAACAACAGAAGGATTAGTTTAATCCTGTATCTCCAGGTAAACTAAAAACAGGAGGATTAGTTTAATCCTGTATCTCCAGGTAAGCTAAACAACAGAAGGATTATTTTGATCCTGTATCTCCAGGTAGACTAAACAACAGGAGGATTAGTTTAATCCTGTATCTCCATATAGACTAAACAACAGGAGAATTAGTTTAATCCTGTATCTTCAAGTAGACTAAACAACAGAAGGATTAGTTTAATCCTGTATCTCCAGGTAAGCTAAACAACAGAAGGATTATTTCAATCCTGTATCTCCAGATAGACTAAACAACAGGAGAATTAGTTTAATCCCGAATCTCCAGGTAGGCTCAACAACAGAAGGATTAGTTTAATCCTGTATCTCCAGGTAGTCTAAACAACAGGAGGATTAGTTTAATCCTGTATCTCCAGATAGACTAAACAACAGGAGAATTAGTTTAATCCCGAATCTCCAGGTAGGCTGAACAGATTAGGGGTTCGTTTATTCCTAAGTTTTAGGATTAAAAAATTCTAATCCTGTAATTCCTCAAACAGACACAGAAAGTTTTAAGTCCTAATTACCAATTGCGAAACAGTTTCTTTTTTATCATTATTTCTAGAATTCAAAGATTTGATCCTAAGGACCTAAATATCCAGACAAAAATAGGCCGAGATAAAAACTAAACGAGAACTAAAGTTAGAAATTACCAGGATTTAAATCCATGCCATTATCATTAACAAACTAGATCGGGGTATTAATATATTTATCTCCTTCAGTACACAAACATTTCTCTACAAGCATATTTGCAGAATTGCAATGTTTAAATTGTTCACAACGTATTCGAATTTGTATACGACACCAAAACTATTAACGAAAAAATGTGTTTAACGTTTTATTATTCTGACTTACTCTGTACTTTTTTTCCATATTATTTCTAATTGGCCACCCGTAGATTTGCAATACGTAAGTAAATTCCTGTTTGAGTTTAATTCTATGGATTATCAAGCCAGACATGGACATTATTATTTGCAGACAGAACATTCTGAATTTCAGGAATTGAATGATAAAAAGAAAACGTATTGCTTCAAGGCATTGTTAGTTAAACTCAGTGTATACATAGTTGTGTGTTAGAATTCTAAGTTTTCATGTTAAAATGTTTAAAATGGTTATTATGAGGTTATTAAGCCTACCCTACCATGGTTCACTTCATAGTTTAGGCTTAATGAGATTGTAACAAGATTTATATCTCTTGATTAATATACAGTTCTACACCTTTACCTAGTTCAATAATCTACAGTTCTACACCTTTACCTAGTTCAATAATCTACATTCTACACCTTTACCTAGTTCAATAATCTACATTCTACACCTTTACCTAGTTCAATAATCTACAGTTCTACACCTCTACCTAGTTCAATAATCTACATTCTACACCTTTACCTAGTTCAACAATCTACATTTTACACCTTTACCTAGTTCAATAACTACAGTTCTAAACCTTTACTTAGTTCAATATTCTACAGTTCTACACCTTTACCTAGTTCAATAATCTACAGTTCTACACCTTTACTTAGTTCAATAATCTACATTCTACACCTTTATTTAGTTCAATAATCTACAGTTCTACTTCTACACCTTTAGTTCCGCCATTAAAGAACAGGAATTATTGTAGATTTCTTTGTCCGAAAAATAACTGGCAAAAATGATTAACATGCTGTGTTTCAAAAGAGGACACACATTGACAGGATACACAGCAAAGAATTGGGGATGCAGCATATAGATATATATTGTAAACGGGACGCACTCTTAGAACTTATTACTAAGGAGGCATTAAATAGAACGCACAAAAGAGATTCACAATACAAAAACTAGGAGAATGGCAAACCTTGTAAGAAGAGTAGATTCCATCAACTTTTCCTCATCATGTCTCCAGTCTTGTTTCCAGTCCGACTCCGTGTCCTGCTTCCAACCATGTTTCCAATCATGCTTCCAATCATGTTTCCAGCCTCCTTGATGTCCCATCAGACCTCCATTTAAACCAGCAACCCTAAACATAGCTTAAAATGTATATATAGGCCAGCCTCTGGCTTTAGTACATTACCATGAGATCTCTTGACCAAACATGAACAATGCACTGATACATCATCTAACCTAGATTGTTGATTGAGACTTACGGTTTCCGGCGAACGAAAATTTCGCGAAAATTTTCTTTCGTACTTTAAAAAAATGCGACAATTTCGCGAAAAATTACATAACATTTGCAAAATGTTGCATTAATCTGTTTCGCGAAAAATATCGCATTTTTAAACGAACGGAATGCGCAAAAATGCTGAAAAAAAAGGTTCGCAAAAAATACGAAATTTTCGCAAAGCGATTTCTCCATTTCGTTTGAACCCTAATTCAGACTTTCCCTTAATAATCAACCCTAAAAATGACTGTACATAATAAAGCCACTGACCTCCATCTTAAATAAGATAAAGCTCTTCGCTCATATATATATATATATTTGTATATATATAAATATACATTCATATATATACA